TCTGTACATCTATGCCACTTAAACTTTTGTGAACCAATATGCTACTATATTACCCTGCTATTTCATGGTTCTGAACTTTTCTGGCCTCTGAACTTGCCTAGTTTATGCCTTCGATGTATGCATATTGTATGTGGTCAACATGAATGATTCTCACTACCTCGAGCATGTCTAGCCTAGTTTGTGTTTATGTGTCTGAATGTTTATACATGTTGCTCGTCATGCGATGATCTCCCTACATTATTCTGCATTCTTGTGATAGACTAATTCATGTGTTCTAGTTCCTGTTGGATCACTCCTGTGTAACTTAATACTCTACTAAAGTCAGTTCTCAACTATGTTAACCAATTGTGTTACCCTGCTAATTGTGAACTTTAATGTGTGTTCCGTGCCTAGTTTAATTCTATGTTGTTTAGTCCCACCTAGAGCTTACAAGGTAAACAATGCAATATCAAGCCTTTTTTCCTCTGTGTAGTCTGATAATCTAGTTTTTGAGGTATCCTTGCCTGCTATGAGTTCTGGTGTTGTTTAAGCTTTTGTGTTATGACTGGTATTTAGCATTGCAATTCTAGTCTCTTCATGGTCAATTAATTTTTGTTTGTAGACCATGTTCACCAACCTTTTTGGTTATGCCATTTTCATTAGGTTCTCATGCTAGACATCGTCATGTGAGGAATGTACCCTATTAGTTTCATGTCTATGATTCTACTAAACTCTTATGTCTGAAGTTCTTCATGCTAATTCTGGACTATGCTTTGCTTTGAAAGTTTACTTGTCAACCGTTAGAAATCCTGCCTATAGGATACTGTTACTCGTCTTAGACAGCATGTCTATAAATCCACGTCGTTAATCTTGGGCTTTCGTACAGTCTTATCGCCTAATTGCACGAAGAATGTAGATGTCATGCCTGTAGGTTTGTAATGCCCTTAATTTATAAATCCGTTAGCCTAAAATTGCAATGTTGCATGTACAATGCTTGAAATCAGAATCACCTAGAAACCATGCCTATATGACTTAAAGACTATAATGTTTCTTAATATTGAAACTGTCCACTGTCTACTGTCTAAACTGCCGCGTGCATTTGTTGTTTATATATGGGGGTTAACTTGAGCCTTTTATTACATTTATGTGAAGTCCTATATATTTTGAATGTGTGCTAGATTTACCATTTTTGAGCATTCTAAGTAGAGTCTAGAACTACCTAATAGTAGGTCCAATGCCTCCTGGACCATAGGCATTGGGAGGGGTAGTGCACGCGTACGACACGACTTAGAATTGAATTAGAGTGCCTTTAAGTAAACAGATTTAATATAGTAATCGGGTAGCAGGAGATGATCATCTATGCCTGCTGAATAATATGAGCAACTCCTACCTCAAGGGACTTGCGAAGTATTATTTATGTTGCACGGGATGATCCTTTAGGTTAAAATACATACGACCCCCCCTTTTTTTTATATGTTTATTGTTCACACATAGTCATAAAATATAAACTAATCCAGTTGTACCTTGTTACCTCCAAAGACTTGTATTAATCACCTATATAGTTAGAGTTTTGCTCGATTTCCTTTACAATTGTTTACAATAGAACCTTTAAATTCCTTGTCTTCCTTCACTTATATGATCACTTAGGACAATTGTAATTCGATTATCCCACATAGTTTACACTTCGGCCGCGACCCACAGTTGTGGACCTTGAAGAGTGCCTAAGACCTTCTCTTTGACATAATTTGATCCCTTATCCGATCTTTAGTGACTTTGACTAGTTAAAACAAAGTTATTTGTAAATAGATGCCCTAATGCACCTTAAAAATTATTAGATGGTGGCTCTCCTCTTTTAATACCTTTAAAAGAGTTGTCACATGTCGAAACCCGCTTTCGTTAGAAAACGGGGCGCGATAATGTTGTTTGTTGCTTTTAACTTGATTTGAAGTGTGCTGCTAATTGTGTCATCAAGGGCAAAATTGCGGACCGCACTTTTCTTAGTGGCCGGGTACCCAATCAATATGGGTGCTCTAAATGTCGGCCAACATCTCACTTGTGGCATAGCACGGTAACACATCTTACCCATACCCGAGCACTATTACTAAGTATCTGACTGATGCTAAGGTAGAGTCCAGGCTATTTGACACCAAGGTCAAGTCGACTGGTCCCTTTGAGTGGTAGAAGCTGCAAGACCTGAGGAACCCAAAGAAGATTATTCAGCTCTCTACTACCGATGGCTAGTCTGATGATCCAGTAGTTGCAGCACCTTGTCTATCTTATATTCCGTCTACTTCAGCTGAGCCGTCCACCAGTGCTAGAGTTTCCATCCCTCAGCCATCACCTTCAGCCCCTACTCCAGTGCGTACACCAGCTCTAAGGCCGATGCCTATGCCGACAGGTCCATTGTCTGTCTTGCGGGTCTCCCAGACACTTGCAAGCCTCAACAACTAGATGCAGGCAGCTACTTCAAAATTGTTTGAGATCACTAGTACATTTGTAGGGCAGACATCTTCACAACCACAACTGGACTACTCTGACATAGATAAGAAGCTCACTACAGTCTTGGACAACCAGGAGGTAATCATGGATACACTGGTACAACATGGTATAGTAATTGAGTGGTTGACCGAGTAGGTGAAGAAGATGAGAAAGACACAGACCAGCAAGAAGTCAGTTGATGCACTTCGAGCTGAGGTGACGAGGATAGCTGAGGCTGGTGATTTGCCTTTTGACATGATACAAGACCCCGCCCAGCCTCACCCATATCCGTCTTCTCATAAGGATCTCGCTACTCATACTGAGGAGTTGCGCCTTGTATCCAGCACTATTGAGGCAGTGTGTGATATGTTCAGCTATCATGCTTGTCCCGCACACGATGATGGCATTATTCAATTAGCTAAGTCGGCTGGGACTGATGATGCTGGTGACACTTTGATGATGGAGGACACTTAGCAAGTTTTTTTGCCCTCTTTGCTGTTTGATCTTATTTTTCTAAGCATTAGGGACAATGCTTCTTTTTATTTGGGGGGGGGGGGTTGG